TCTGTAAGCAGCACATTAAGAGAATATTTCAAGATGACAAAGTGTTGCTTTTTGAGTATATTAGGCTAAAGAGATCTTAGGCTTTTTTTGTTTGTTTTCTGGACGATAGTTTACTCCCTTGAGCCTTCTTAGCTGATTGTAGGCGACTACCAAGATTTTGACTTCATCTCCATGTTTCTACTGTAATGTGTTCATTGGAAGTATTAGAGATATGAAATCATATCTCTAATAGGAAGAAAGGGAATAACATGCTTCTAGTTCAGCTTGCGGCATATAATCCAATGTTGACTTTAGTTCACCTTATGTTGTGTTATTCTTTTGAATATAATCCATTGTTAATAAAGTCCATTGTGGATAGAGTAACATTTCTGGAGGATCAGTGAGGCTTTGATTTAAATTTTATTTCTGAAATTTCTGATACATTTGAAAATATTCATTAAAAAGTACTGCAAGACTCATTCAAACTTACTATTGCCATTTCATAAATTAAAATTTCCAAGCACTCATGCCATATTATTGTTGTCTCCACATCAAATGAAGTGCATCATCTTTCCTGTTGTATAGATATGTCCTGTTGTATATAGAGGCAAACTGCAAGAAGAGACTGACAAAATATCTGCACCAAAAAGTCCAAAAACAATATGTGGCAGACTCAGTCAAATTTGATTACTGAGGATACATGAAACTCTTATGATTGTCCTCAACAGAAGGATGTCTCAGACTAAATAAAAATATTTTTGTCTCTCATCTGTCAGATGATGGAAACAATAGCAAGGAGCTCTTCATTATATTTTAATCTGTTTACTATTGCAGACGCATTAGCAGAAGAGAAAAAAGACCATGGGGTCTTATCAACTGATATCAGTTTCAAACATATGGATGGATCACATAAATTCTTTGGGAAAGGGATGAGAAATTACCTTGGTGAAAGCAAATGCTTTTTTGATGCAACTATACAGGTTGGAATTGAAGACAAGTTACATATTACAATTTTACGATCCGTGACAAAGTGTTCACCTTTTCCTTTCAGTCCTGATCCTCTAGACTCTTGTGATATCTGCAGTCTCTGTGGCATTTAAGACGGTTCCGAGATGAGTTTTTCAGTCTATCTAGGCATGTGCACGTTGGAGATCCTTGTGTTGTCTGTGCGTTACGTCAGATCTTTGAGGCCCCAAGCATGGGTAATACTGATAGGCAAAGGGAAGCTATTGCGCTAACCTCTTTAAGAATCTCTCTGAGCAATTTGTATCCTAGTAATAAGTCCTTCCAGGGGGTATGGTCACAGGAATTTGTTGATTTTGTCTTTCTTTGACTCTCTCTCTCTCTCTCACCAAATATGAACTTGGATACGATGTTTTACAGGGACAAGATGGTGATGCTTTTGAAGTGTTGGAAAAAATATTAAGCTGCCTTCATCAGTCATTTACTTATAAGGATGATGCTGATGATGCCAATTCAGAAGACAGGAAGTGCACAGGCTCTTCACATGGAGCAAGCAAGACTTGTATAGCACATACCATTTTCGGATTGGACGTGTTACGACGAGTGGACTGTAAATGTGGTCTTCAGTCTGGATATAAGAGCCAGATTTCTTATGCTACTAACATAGCTGCAAGAGAACTCAGACAGGCAAAGGTTTGCCACATGTGAATAATGTTTTGATAAAGTATTTCGGTATTCTTAAAACAACTAGAAACTTCCGTAAGCAGAATTGCTATGAATTCTATGTTAGACATGTTAAAATTCGATTTCTTTTCATCCCAACTCAGATTATGCATGTGGGTTGCCCTTTTGATGAGCTTTTGAAGCTTCTCACAGTGGATGAGGATACTCAATTCATTTGTGAAACAGAGGCTCATGGCTGTGGAGCACCCAACCATTTCACTCATGTTCTTTCAACTCCTCCACACATATTAACTGTTGGTAAGTGACGATGTCATAAAATCTATCATTCTTGTATTGGCCAGTGCTTACTTGTTTCTAGTCGGAGCATTGCAGTTATTCATTGGCAGACGGCAAGTGAGAGTGCTGATACTATACTAACAACATTGATTGCTCTTAATGCTGAGGTCGATGTTGGCATTTTGTATCAAGATTTAGACCAAGGGAGCAGACACGTTCTTGTTTTAATGGTAAGTTTTATATTCCCGAGTCCTTTCTAGCATCTGGTTACATTCATAGTTGCAAAAAGAAAAAAGACGAAGACACTCCTTGTAATTTAAAGTACTATATGTAATTTAAAGTACTATATAATCAACTAGAAAATAGATGCCTTTATTGAAGTAAATGCAAGGATGGTGCATGCAGACAGTTGAGCTGTTTACATGCAGCGGTCTGACTTGCTCTGTGCTCAAGATATTGTCAGAGACTTTAAAACATTGTTACAAGGAGTGGATTGGGAGGGGTAATTTCAGTTGGGTGATGGGCTGATTGGCAGCTTAAAGATGGTTTGTTGTCCTGATGGTGGATGGTCATCACATGCCAATCTAAAATTTGGATTCGCCACAAAAAAGTTTTGAGAATCGTAGTGTGTTCTTTTGTGTTAGTCTCTGCAGTTGGCTTCACAAGTGGATGTATTGGGTTGATTCAGATGCCACGTTGGCAAGGACATGGCTGTAGACAATTGGTGTAATAACTTTAACTCTTTGATCTCTTCACTGTTGAGTAGCATTTTATAAAAGAGTAATGCTACACTGTTTATAAAAATGGGATTTCTTATGCGGCCTTGCACCCCTAAGCTTATTTTTTTCCCTTCTCTTTAAATAAAAGGTTTGAAGCGTTAACCCCAAAAATGGCATTTTTGATGCAGCAGCTAAATTGATCTTAATATGCACGCATATATGCATGCACATGTTTTTAAAGTCCCATGTTGATGGTTAACTCTGTATGCAATAACAGGAAAACCAATGTAATGAAGTTTGAAAACATTACTATGCCTTAAACCGACTGGGTATATTGTTTTTTATTCAAAGATATCTTCCTCAATGGGAGATGAATATGTAATAGCTTGACGTCTTCTCTTTGACATTCCAACCAGAGGCTATTTTCAGAGCCTCTTTGGCCGCATCAACTAATTTTTGAATTAAAGAGGACACTTCCTCAGGCATGAGGATTGATGTGGCAGAAAAATCTGTGAAATAAGGATTTCTGATATTATTTACAAATAAATTCTATTGAAGGGCACCTAGAGTGGATGCAAACCATGTACATGAGAAACATGTGAAGTGTTGTGTTTACTCCCCTTAAAGGAACTCAAACGGCAATTAAGTATCAAAAGTCTCTACAAGATCAAAAAATGATCTCAAGGTGGGCACTTATCAGAAGATAAAACAGGGCAGTCCAGTGCAAAGGTAAAAGTAAAACAGAAAAAAGGGTTATTGAAGGGGGCACCCTCTCCATGTTTCTCAGCTAAACTGTCAAGCATCTGCTTCATATGGGGTTGATAGTTCGAAACATGTAAACTTCCCCTTCCTCCAATTGCATCCAGTAAGGAAATTTGGGACAGTTCTGGACACCATGCTCTTACTCCTGCCGAGACATTTAGCTCCTACTCCACGCGTGCTCTTGACACCTTATTTCTTGTTATTTTGCGAAAGAAATTATCTGCTTTATTTTCTAACAGCAACCATGTTTGTTTGTTGCTGATTTGATGGCAGTATGTCCATGCAATATAAATTGCATTACAGAACCATTTTACATCTTTCCTAAAGCTTTCTTGTTATTCTTAGGTTTGCTATCGTGGGCATCACTATTACTGCTTTGCTAACAACCATGAGCATGAAAGATGGATTGTGTTCAAGGACGAGAATATAAAGGTACATTCATATTGGTTGCTTGATATTATCTCTCCCTATATATGGTCTTTAATTTCGGGCATCTAATATATATTTGGTTCCAATAGGTTATTGGCAGTTGGGATGATCTTCTTTTCACGTGTGCAAACGCACACTTACAACCTCGGCTCCTTTTCTTCGAAGCTATAGAGTAGATGTGTTCTGGACAAATCACTAGAGTTGCAATGCAAATGGCATTTTTGTTTGTAAAGACAATTATGATGAGGAAGGATGGAGGAGGAAGCACACAATTTATTTGAACAACTAACTGATCATGGAAAGTGGTTCTTTACCCCTTCTATTTTCTTTTTCTTTTTTTGGGCAGGAAGGGTGAGGGGTTCATAGAAGAACAGATGATGCTATGCAGAGCCTGAACCACTGGCATTGTTTTCATGGGATGCCCAAACCTGTTACTGAACATAGCAAGACATGGAACCATGGGGTTCCAATATTGTACATTTCTACGGAAGATGATGAAATTAGGTAGCCCCAGTTGTATATGAAATATTAGACATAAAACATTTTAACAAAGGAATGAAGAACTACCAATGATCTCGATTCATGGTCATCTCTTCTTCTCTCTGTCTGTGTGTGGGAGTGTGCGTGCAATATCTTTCCTTACATGGTTATCTAAGAATATAGTAATTGATGCAGGCTATCAGGAAGATTGAAATTGTGAAATTTTGAACAGGTAGATGTTTTCCTGTATCAGTATGATGTTGGCGAACTCAGATGTTCAATATGAGCTTAATACCACTGGAAAATGAACAGGTAGACATTTTCCTATACCAGTATGATGCTGTCAAACTCAGATGCGCAATGTGAGCTTAATGGCACGGGTAAAAATTGTTCCTATTGTATGAGATTTGTGGCTTTGAAGCATCATTCACAAAAACAAAGTTCTCTATTGGCATGGCAAATATAATTAAAAAGAACTTCCGCAGGAATCACCTAACAAAATCTCATCATCAGAAATCACTTAACAAGAATTATATCCACCAAGTCCCCAGCAAATAACAACACTCATTTGAGAAGCTTCCAAGCTATTATTGTGGGTAAACAGTAACATTACACAATGACTCGCGACGCCTTGTGGCTTGATTTCTTTTGATGTCTGTAACAGGAGCAGGTTTGTGACTGAAATAATTGTATCCAGGTTCTGAACGCCTAGGTCATGGTTGAAGTGAGGGTCTTTGCCAAAAACTCGCTTGCCACTATCAAATAAACATAGAGATTTCTTAACCAACAAAAACAAATAGAAGAAGAAAAACCAACTTGAGCACGATTGAAGAATTTGAACTATGCAGTAAAGGAATATGATGATGGCGACAAGGCAAACAAACATAATGAAACTCGTATTAACCATCCTGATCTCGACTTGATTGCTAATAGCTCATATATCTTACCCTAAAACATCCTTAAACTATGCGTCCTGGTGAGACATTTGTACATAAGTACACTAACAGGATAGAGTGCTATTAAAGTGGACAAAGGACCATTACAATGCAGCCTCGTCTTGTTTGCTTTTGGCAAATTAATACACATTCTGGTTTGATAGGAATATACTACTTTTCATCTTGACCATTATTATACAATTCTAATACACGTTTGTTCTCATGACTAAACTCCAGAGAATTTCAAAATTAATGAAACAAGAGCATAATTATAAAGATAACAAGCCAAATGGGTGAATCTATGATTGAAACAAGAGCATAGTAAATGCATTACTAATCCAAATACATATCTAGATCCTATGTAGTATCCTTTCATCGGTAAGTATTGGAGCGGACTCACTTTCATATAATCAGTCTTGTTTAAATTCATAACAAATAATATACCACCGAAGAAAATGAAAAAAAAAATGTATTAGAAGAATATTAATCCTCTATGTACCAACCTTTAGAAGTCGACGGAACTACAACAATATGAATGGCTGCATTGTTTGGGGGAAGAGCTAACCGAAGTTGATATAGCTTTCCACGTGTGTCGCGGGAACACACAATAATGTCCTCTAGCCCCGTCTCTTCCTCCAACTTCCGAGTCAATTCCTCTAAACCATGGCCTTTAAAATTAAAGGAAGGCCCTTCAATGGCATCATCAGCAACGTTTCCATTGTCATCTACAACAGTATAATGTATAATTCGTCCTTTAGACTTCACCGGTGAACCACCCAATGTATCGTTTGTCTGCAAATAGTTAAAACCAGCACAATCCCGTCAAAATTTCCAATCATAATAAGTATTGTACTGAATAATTATTTTTAGCATAAATTTCTATAATATAAAGGCGAGAATACAATTTAATCTAATAAGATTACAACAAATAGAGTTGTTTGTTAGGATCGATCATCGTGTTTTTAATGGCTACGAAATCTTTCGATATTATAAATTTGATTCAGATCGAGTTGTATGTATACGTTCGAATGGATACGATATAAACAACTATAGTGGTACCCGGCCAAACAAAACAAACCTCAAGCTTGGAGAATCTGGGTGAGCGAAGATGAAAAGAAGACGAGCTAAGATCCGGATCCGAATCCAAATCCAAAGACTCCGATCGTGAAACATTTTCCTGTGATGCTGATCGTGAAACATTTTCCGATGATTCTGATCGTAACTCAACGACATCAACTTCCCATAAAACCCAATCATGATGCCTCTGAGGTATATCATGTGTTACTGAGTTTCTCCAAGGTGGTAGCCCAGCATTTGCTCGTAAAAAGTTCCCATATCTAGTTTTGAGCTTCACTAGAAACCCATCTCTTATGGGTTCCCATTCGATCGATGAATCCAATTTTGTCGGCGTAGTTTGAAGAACTTTATGACCCGTCACGCCCAGAAGGAATTGTTCTTCAGTGGCAGTGAGGTATTTGCCATAACAGCTTCTCAAGCGAACGACTTTGTTAATGCCTTCAACGAATTCCACAGTCCATTTTGCGTTTTTGGCTGAGCCATATCGATCTTGGTACACGGATTCTTGGTCTTCTTCGGCTAGTAAGTACTTGTCATGGTGGCTTCGGAGCCTGATCGTTTTTGCTTTTTGGAAGAATTCCATTCCAGAGCTCTGAAATCAATCATCAACACAATCATATGAAATTATGAACTGTTTCAATAAGAAAAAAAAGTTGCATGTACAGGAGAGGAGATATATAAGCTGTACCTGGATCAATAAAACGTGATATAAAAAATTCAGAAAGGGATTTCTATGGGACTTTGTCTCAAATTTCAAAAAAGTAAAAGGGGAGAGATCTGAAGATGAGAATGACTGTATGAGTTTTTGAAGGTTGGTTTTTTTTTTTTTTTTATGCCATAAATTTCAAGGTTGATGAAATGCTCAGTTTTTGAAGGTTGGAGATGGTCTCTTAGATGTGGATTAACGGCTATAATGGCAAGTGTGACAAAACGTTGTGGTGCTGTGTTGTCAAGCTTGAATTCAGCAATGCCGTTTTAGTCAGAGACGTAGGATCAGGAAGTGGCCCACAGAGTTATGGCTTTGGCAATCGGCAAGTTTGGACTCTATCTTTGCTATTGACACTGCGAGGGCAGAAGGAAGGAGAATCCAATGAATTTGCTTGCAGATTTCTTATATTATTATTATTAATTTTTTTTTATTATAGAATATCCAAATTTACATCGATCATTTTCACGAATTTAGGGACCAGTACGGGCGGAGCCACCTTATGTACAGGGAGACACATGCCCACCTTCAATTTTTTTTTCTAAAATTATTTATATATATTTTAAGTATTTTTTTAATATATTAAATTATACACACCATATTTTTTAATCAAAACCAAAAAAAAGTATGATATATACATGAGTTTACTTATAATTTTAATATTTATTTTAGTAATTATCACCAATATGATAGAGAATATATTTTATTATGTAATTGAATGAATAATAAGTAGCTAAGTGATAATATGATTATGGATATAAATAATAATAAAATTAATGTAAGACTTTCAATGTACAAAAACTCATCGAAATCAATTCTAAGTAGTTTTGATTAGTCTTTGGGAGTACCATTAGACCAAAGACTCATTAGTAGTATGATTTGCAATTATAGCCCTTTAAGTTTAATGAACTTTTAAGAATTAAATAAAATATAATTAAATATAAATGTATTATTTTATTTTTATCAATTACAAAAAAAAAATTACGTTTGTTAAAATATATAATACCCACCCTGAAACAATTTTCTAGCTTCACCCTTGGGGACTGACACCGTAATTTGAGCTGAATTAGAAAATATTCCTAAAGGGATAAGGGTGGCTAACCCTTAGGGAGTGTGGGGAAGGGATTGAACCTGAAATTTTTGAATTATCAAAAGTCAAACGCAATTAGACCTGACAATCGTGTTGGGTGGAACAGTTTTATATCGGATAGAACGAATTTGTGTCAAAAAATCCTTCATTTATCCCCCCATTTGTTTATATAAAAGAATTCAACTATCACATCTGTACACGACTCGTTTATTAAACGGGTTACCTGACACAACCCCGTATGTCATTCGCTACATAAAAGAATCAACAAGAGTATTTCGAATCTATACATGTTTGATCTGTTTATTATAACAATAAATCATGACTAAGCAATAAAGTAAAAACAAAAAATAAATATTAAATTACTATCAAATTCGAATGAATCTGAGAAATGAGAGACGTGAGATGAGACAGAGGTTGAGAGACCAATTTTTTTTTTGGAATTTATAGTGCTACTATTAACGGGTTAAACGGGGTGAAATATATTTATGGGTTAAATATAAAACTGATTTGTTTATTTCACGGGTTTACTGAATTAACCCGTTAATCATTCTAATTCATTAAAATTGACAGGCTTAAGTGCAACCGTTAGACCACCCTAAAGATGATATTTCTTAAGTTATGCAATAGTATAACATACTTTTATACAGAAAAATTTTGATATAAGAATTTATAGGCAAAATGATATGACTAATGTTTTATAATATACTAATTATGATTCATTTGTTTGAAATAAAAGACTAATAGTGAACCACATTATTATTCTACATGACACTTTGGTATGAAATTTCATTTTATATGCCATTCTTATATTTGAAGTCGTCCATAGCTGCTATTGATCTTGCAAGTCAGACTCTCAAGGTCCCATCAGAATGCTGACTTATTAGCTATACATTAAGATTAAGGTATGAAAACATCACATGGTTTCAGACTATTTTTCTATGTCAAGAAAGTTTAGCTTTAATTGCTAGATTAGTCTACAAAGTTTTTAAGCACCACAATATACGATTGATTCTAGGCACATTGACTTTATGCATGGATCAACGATATATTTATGATGACACCTTCTGCATATACACTTTGTACAACAATTTTTTTTTGGGAGGGGAGAGAGAAGATGACTTGAACATTTGACTTCAAAAATGTAAAATTTTTATAATGTAAGTAGTAATATTAGACCAAAGATTCATTGGTGCATGGATCAACGAATTACTAATCAACACTATTAAAAAAAATGAGAAGAGGAGTTTAGTGTCCTCTTCTTTTATTAATAGTAATTTTTTATTAATAATTAATTTATAATAACTTCCTAATTCAAATGACTCTCTGCCTCTTTCTCTGACAAATGCCCATGCCTAACACGGTGCCAAAAACTAATAAGCAACAAAATTCTAGCTCATATATTGACTTAAGAAAGGGTTAAGATAAGTCGGACTCATAATCAAGTTGAATTTTACAAGTTTGAGTCATGTTTATCGAACTTATTTTTTTAAATAAGTGTCTAAAAAATTGTTTAAGTTTAAATCTTTTAATCAATGATTCGAACTCAAACCAAATCCAAAACGAGTCAAACCTAATCCGAGTCCGAAGAATTTGACTATTTTACATGAATTTAAAAAATGAATTTAAATTTTGGATTTAATTTAGGCTTGCTTTCTAAATGAATTTAAAAAATTGTTCAAATTCAATTCTTTTAAAAAATTAGTCAAGTTTGAATTAAATCCAAAATAAATTAAATTTGAGCAAAATTCGAATAACTTAATTATTTTACGTATAAACGAATTGGCTCTTTTAAATTTGATTCATATGGTCCAGCTAGGCTCATCAAGTCTAATAATAGCGATAGATAAAAAGAATGATAGTCATGCAAACGAAAGTAAATGTCAATTTGGCAAAGTTAATCGATTTACCTGCCTCGTAGAGGCATGTCCAAGCCTTCCTGCGGAAACGACTATCGGTGACCCGGTGTCCGGCGACCCAGAAAAATCATCTGCCAATGCAGAAAAGTTTGACGCCGTCGATGTACAGCTCGATAACGACTCCGAATCCGACAACGATATATCCACAACATCCACTCCCCACAAAACCCAATCCTGAGTCGCAGTTCTATGAGGAACATCATGAGTTATGGAGTTCCTCCAAGGAGGTGTTCCGCCATTTGCCCTCAAGAACTTCCCTTGGCTTGTTCGAAGCTTCACATGGAAAGCCCCTTCTTTTATAGGCTCCCACTCGATTGAAGTGTCCGACTTTGTCGCCGGAAGAGTTTGAAGAACCTTTTTTCCGGTCATTCCGAGAAGGAATGCCTTGTCGGTGGCGGTGAGGTACAGGCCGTGGTGGCTCTTTAGGAGGATAACATGGGGTTTTCCTTCGATGAACTCGACTGTCCAACGTGCCTTGTGGGAAGAGCCATTACGGCTTTGCCGGACGGTCTGTTCATCATCGTCGGCAACTAAGTACTTGCCGTGGTGGTTTTGGAGTCTAACTGCTTTAGCTTTGTCAAATAGCTCCATTCCGTTCTGCAATGTAATTGTCAATTGGGTTGAAAAGGCGTTGCTAGTAATATTAGAAAAAAGTTGTCTCACTCGAGTCCTTATTCTTATAATTTCGACATTTAAATCTATAAATTTTTTGATTTATGGGTAGGAAAGAATACCTGTCTTCCACTAGAGGGTCTGGATCTATAGGGGAAGATTGAAGACGAACGGCTCTCAGGGGCGATTGATGGGGAGCGAGAGTCTGAAACCGTAAAATCGTCGGCCGGTGATGAAGAAAAACTTGACGCCGGCGACATGTAGCTAGGCAATGACTCAGACTCCAAGTCCAATACACAAATGTCCACTACATCGACTTCCCACAAAACCCAACTTTGTGTTGCAGTTCTGTGAGGAAGATCATGAGTTATAGAGTTCCTCCATGGCGGTGTGGCCCCATTAGCCCTCAAGAACTTCCCTCCTTTTGCCCTTAACTTCACTTCAAACCCTTCCTTTATCGGCTCCCACTCTATAGAATTATCCTTCATCGTAGTCGGTATAGTTTGGACCACCTTTTTTCCTGTCATACCTAGAAGGAAAGGCTCGTCGGAGGCGGTGAGGTACTTGCCATGAAAGCTCTTGAGACGAATGACATGGCTATTCCCTTCCACAAACTCGACGGTCCAACGGGCTTTTCTTGAGGAGCCGTTACTGCTTTGCCGGACGGTCTCTTCATCGTCGTCGGCGACGAGGTACTTGCCAAGGTGGCTTCTGAGTCTCACAGATTTAGCTTTGTTGAAGAACTCCATGCTTTTCTGTAATGAAAAGCTTTGTTTGTTGTTTGCTATTAGTTTTCTTCCTCTTGGCTTAATTTGTTGATTTGAAGGGAGTCTTTTACAGATCGACAACTTGGATGGTTGACCCGGAAGTTTCGAAGATGCTTTTGCTTATTTATTTCAATTCTTATATAATTGAATGCAGGGCCTAACTTGTACGGATTAAGACTAATCCATGTCGCAATTGAGGCATTAAGCCTCTTTAGAGCTGATGTTACCTCTAAAAATATAGTTTAAAAATTGAAATGAAAATATTAGAGTTAAAAAATTATTAAAATTATATTGTGTTTGTGAAAAAAATTGTCTTTTCTTTATACACTCTTGGATTAGCCCCCTTTTTCCAAATTTTTTTTTGGTACCGATAAATAAAAGTTATTTTTACCCAAAAAATTGATAAAAAAGTCACCCAAAGTATATTTGGTGAATCAAAGTTAAAAACAGTCTCTTAAAGAGAACAAAATCAATAATATTAAAAAAAAGATGTTCCAATTCTAAGCTTACTACTCTATTTATAATACTAAAATCATAATCCTTCTAATTCTAATAGAATAAAGAAATTATTTCTAATAAACTAAAGGAATACAATACTTAATAGAATTAGGAATACTATTCCTAATAGAATAACAATTTTAATCTAAAAAACACTTAATCCAAACGAAAATTAGTCCTAAAATTAAGGTCAAATAAATAATAATTTCTAATTCTTGTCTTACGTCAATACCATTATTATAGTGACACATTACTTGGTCTTTATTTTTTTGTCAATAATATCCTTGTTTGAAAAAAGCATCTCAAAATAAATTAAATCTAAGTAATATTTTAGCTGAGATATTCAATTTTCTAGACTGAAAATTGAATTTAGTTTGAATTTCTATCTTTAGTGTTTATGCCATTTGAGAATTAAACTCTACGGGGCAAGCCCAAGAGCCCAACTTACGATGTAAGTTTAGTTTAAATTAAGAGTTTGACTCAAGAAAGATCTGGTAATTTCAAATAAAAGTGGTTAACACCAATTAAACTTATCAGAGTTTGAAGAGCTACATTAGTAAGAGAGCAGGTATGGTCATCCAAGATCCTCATCCTCGCCGTCTTGGAAAGAAGTCAACATCTATCTCTTCTTTTGACCGAATCTCATGGAGAATATCGTAACTGTCTCGCCCATTAAGAAGATATCGACAACTTTATCAGAATAGTCACTTAGTTATTAATAGCTCACTCTAGTCTGTTATGGGCGACTTTGAATTGTAAGTCCCGCCAACACTTGGAGGGGCATCACATTCAGTCAAACACAATTCTTCTCTCTCTTAGCTTGTAACTCTCTATTCTTCCTACACATTTAAAATAATAAAATATCTAGCAATTCAAAGTAGACGTACGTCACATTGACCAAATTATTATAAATCTCGTCTTATTTTTGTCTCTATTTCTTATTTATTAATTACTGTTCATCTGACAAGTGGTGTATAAACTCAATTTGTGCATCATCGATTAAACCAAACTTTTCATCCAAAAATTGAACCCGAGTTGAGGTGGAGTTTCAGATATGGATAATAGTCAAATCAAAGGTTTGGGACTAAATTTGAGTAATTGTAAAATTCAAGTTTAATGGAATATATGCAACTTGAATGGTTGAATACTTTGGTAACATGGATGTTGAGAAACACGGTATAGCTGCGCCAATTCAAAACTATCAGAATCTTTCTTCTCCGTGAACAGAATGGTACCGGGATGACCAAATCAAAGTATACGGAATGAATATAAACAGCTTACGCGTCTTGAGGTTGCCATATTGGTTCCAGAATGTTCTCAATCCATTATGACAAAGTCTATTCATATATGGAATTTCAGTTGATTGATGGGCCGAGCCTAACTGCCCGACTCATGTTTTAAGTCTGTGTTAAAGGTCCAACTCCATGAAATCCATCAAGTTCAGTCTAATGTGATAAATCTGATCAAATTAATCAAGTTCAAATAGTTACATTAGTAGGGAGCACGCAAGTCATCCTAGAGTAAGGGTCATCTTAAAGTCTCTTTCTAGTCACCTTAGAGTAAGAGTCATCTTAAAGCCTCATTCTAGTCACTTTGGACTAAGAATCATTCAAGAACCTCCTCCACGTCGCCTTAGAAAGAGTCAATCCTCACTTCATTCTTTGTCCGAGTCCTATGGAGAGTATTCTAACTGCCTCACCTGTTGAGAAGGGGTGGCCACCTCCACCAGATCAGCTATTTAATTACTATTAAATTATCCAAATCCGTTATGACTGCCAGACTATGTATTCAATTACTATGTGTTATGAGGCGACTAAAAAATACAACAATTAGGGGCATCACACTTATTCAAGCATAATTCTCTTCCCACCCTCTCAAAACTGGTCACTCTTGCTCTCTCTACACACTCGAGGTAATAAAATGCCTGACGACCCTTGCCATTTAAAGTAGACGTAGGTCACGTTGATTGAACTACTATAAACTTTGTCTTTTTTTTCCCTCTACTTTTTTTACTGCTTACTTAACAGGTGATGTGCAAACCAATTTGTGCATCATCATCAGTCATGTTAGTTTGATTTTATTTTTGGGTTAAAATTGTGGTCTAAATGATATACAAGTTCCTTAACTCTAACAAATAAAAAGGTCTGATAATATTTGAGTGGTTATTTGGATTTTGTCACATTGGAAATATGAATTCGAGAATAAAGTAAATGGTAGGGAGAGAGGCAGACTATGTCGTTTTCTTAAGACGATTTGTTTCTTTTTATAAAAAAAATATGGTGTAGTAAGTAATAGCACATTGTCTCTACGATACAACAAACTCTTCATAAATGACTTTAGCTTCACTTTGTTCTGCATATTTGAATGAAGTAGAAGCTTCATACGACACTATTCAATTTTGCCCAGAGATCTTATGTAGAGAGAAAATAAGATAAAAATAATAGTATATACTTTTGGCTTAAAATATCAAATTATATAGTGTAAAGATAACTGTCGATATACTATAGTTATTTCTAAAATATTTAAATTTTAGAAACTCGTATTTTGTGTGCTATTTTCACCTTGCGCACATGAGAGTCTTAAGTTCTCACTTAACTTAATAACTAGGTTAGGTAGTACTAATATAGTATATAAACTCAAGTTCTTTTAGTAATTTAATCAATTTGAGATTAAGTTTCTCCTATGAGTAATCCTTTTTTTTTTTTTTAAAATTAAAACACTCTTTAACATATTAGTTGGACTATAGATTTGGTCCCAAATTTGATTAGTTTAGAATTTTTGATGGAATTTTTATTCGAATTTAATTATAAATTAGTATTTTTCGTTGAATATTTGACTTTAAATTATATATAATATATAATAAAATAAAATTATTATTCAATAAAATGAGTTGAATTTCAATGTTGTCTATTAAAATACATCTCTAATTAAGTTATTTGGATAAGATCAACAATCTAGGTGGATTTTTATATTCTAGTGGGTTTATTAGGGGCGGAGCCAGTAATTTCTTTTAAGGTGGGCACACTATAACTACAAGATTTAATTTTTTTTTCTCCAATAAATAAAAAGAATGCGATATATTTGTATTTTTAACATCATATTTGTTAGGTAAAAAATTCATTGAATGCAAAAGACCAAAAGGCAGTATACATAGTTTATGCAAACAAAAAACAACAAAAAAAGGGTTAATTATAACCCTTTTGCCAAATATTTGACAAACTATTTTGTCAATTCTATCACTAGCATTTTAAAGAAAATTGATATATTATAGTAGGAAGAAAATACGAGTATAAATACATAAAATTATAATTTCTGAGCGTAATCAATTTTTGGCAAATCTATAATTTGAAAAGAGAAGTTGCTAGTGTTTGTTGCTAGGCGTGAGAGAGAGAGATAACAAAATTTTTTGTAGAATTTAATATAAATATAAATCCTGAGAATACTTGAAAAATTTTAGGGCAAAAAAATATTATCCTTATAAAGAGTAAAAAGAAAATGGAAGAAAATAATTTATATAGAAATCTATAATAATAAAATAGAACCAATTTTGAATCTTTTCTCACTTAAAAATTTAATTTTATTTAAATTCATTTAGGAAAGCACAAGGACGGCTCAGATTCATTCTAATTTTAATCCAATGATCTAAATTTCATCTTAATTCTTCCAACTTAATCCAAAGGCTCACATCAAACCCACCCTCTACACGCTACCCCCTCCACACTACACACCCAAATCAAACCCATTCCCTACAGCTACTCTCTGCCTCAAATCAAACCCATTCCCTACACACCCAAATCAAACCCACCCCTACAGCTACTCTTTGCCTCCCGCCCAAATCAAACCCATTCCCTACACACCCATTTCCTCTGCCATGCCTCATGGCTCAACACAACGGCAGCACACAGCAACCCAGACCCCTTACCCCTCTACTCACACCCCTCTCACTCCTCTGCCATGGCTCAGCGGCGGCACACAGTGGCGATCAACACAGCAGCGACACCAACGGCATTCAACACAGCGGCACACAGCAGCTCACCAAGCTCAGCCCAGGTACCTCCCTCTCCCCCTTCGAGTTACAAATGTAGATTACAGCAAATGTAGATTCGTTCCTTATGTAGATTCGAGTTGCAAATGTAGATTACAGCAAATGTAGATTTAAATATTTTTTGGAATGAATAATCTTTCCTTATTCGATCTCAACTGATTCGGGTTGGAAATGGGTTAATCTTTTGTGAGATTTTGCGATTCTTTTGATGATTTTTTTTTTTCCTGAACAGTTTTTTTCATCTGCTATTAATTCCATTAAAGCACTGATGTATTTCAACTGCGTAATTCCATTAAAAATGTTTGCTTATTTACTCGATCAATTGCAAAAATGTTTACTTTATTGTATTGTGTTGGCTTGATATGTTTTTTTTAAGTGTACAGAATTTTGTGTGTGTACAGAATTTTGTGATCTTTTCACTTTTGATCTATTTTGAGTT